AATCACAAGAAGTTTAGATTTTTCCAGCATCTAAAGAACGATATGAATCAAAGAGAGACTGATGAGCTTAAATCTACTCGGCTCAGAGAAAGACGCTTGATGTGTCTTCTTTAATTGGAAATATGAACAATGAGACGCTGAACTTAAATTTACCCAACACTCTTGAATTATGCGTCACTGTTTAAATAATACAGGAGCATCGTACCGTGGGACTGCACTGTCTAATTTCTTTTTCATGGATTGTGCTGACTAATACAGAATAAAAGACCAAGATGACGCTCTTCTCTATTCCTGAGTCAAGCGTCACTTATCACCGCTGACACGACTCGGTTAGGGACGTTCACAATAAACAAAAAATCTGCATGCATGCAGGAAAAAAAACGAAAATCACTTCGTCTCCCCTGAACAAAGCTGAGACCGTCTTTTCTGTAATCGTTCTCCTAAACCTCCTAAAAGCACTTTTCAGACTGCAGGACGCTCGACAAACTAAAGTTCACACGCTCGGCTCCAAATGAACCCCAAACTGTCTCCACTCGTGCAGATTTTCTGAAACACCGACGACTCAAAATAGAAATGACATTTTTCGTACAAAATCAGAAGCGCGCTGGGATGCAGTCTCCACACACACACACGTATATAATGTATAATTTATCATCTCTCCTCTGAAGCCTCTCTGGTGTGTTTCAGTGCAAAATGTTGCTCTGTTCGCATCCTCTTCAAATTTACCTTCACTTTAAAACGGAAAATTCCCGACTAGAATTAATGACAAACACCTTTGACACGCCAGGAGACCCTGATCTGAATCTACTGTTGGATTTCTGCATCTCCTCAGCCGTTAATCGTCTATAAATGAATCTGTAAAAAGCCGTCAGTTTCAAAGAAAACTTTTGTTCCACTTTTTTCTCGTCTCTCTATGATTCATAATAATGCAGCCATAAGAAGTAGAAAACCGAAAACCTCAGGACATCTGTGGCATGAAGGTAGAGCGGATCATCAAAGATCATCAAAGTTCAGTTGTTCATTAACTTGAATGTTCACGATCAGCTACGATCATCGAACACAGCCTTTTTGTAGCTGTTCCTGATGCGGTTGACATTGGGGGTTAGAGTCCCCTTAACGGCTAAATTAGCTCGGCAGAAAACTGTAGCATCGCTAACTTCTGGTTTCCTCCACAGTTTTTCATTAGAAGGGGTTAGAAGTGAGACTAATCCACTACGACAATCCGACTCCAAAAATGTTGCAGTTGAAGTATTAACTGTAAAACTGAGATTCAAGGGAAACAAAATGACATCTCTGAATTTTTGCAGACATACCCGAGGGCCAAATCTCTCTTCAGATTTGATCTGGACTCTAACTGAACCGAACATAATGTAGGTCAAAGAAGTCGTGGATACAGGTTGGGTTTTTCCAACTGCTGGCTAAAAAAGGAACGTCAATCATGAGTCCCAGAGGCGTTGTAAGATGACTGACCCTGTTATGGCTTCCACCAGCAGACTCTGAAATAGGGCTGGGCGATAAATTTACCGATACCGAAATTTACAACAATAACCAACGTAACTTCGTCCATATCGGTATATTCGGTGTAAAAAAAATGAATAAATCAAAGTTGGTTTTGGATGTGTGTAGGTAGGCTATGGTCTCATGTCGCTTAAAGACGCTGTCCTACGTCAGAGACGTGACTCCACCCCATCCAGTCTGTAACAAAGAGGGAAAGACAGGTGAGGAGATGAAGGACGGTCTAAAAGTTGTAGCGGCTGAAGTAGACAAAGTTAATGTGGGAGGGGGTGAGCAGCTCGTGGAGTAGTTATCGTCCATTTATCGTTATCGAGGTGAACTGCTTGATTTGTGGCCATATCGTCCAGCCCTACTCTGAAACCAAAACTTGTGTCTGATCTTTGACATTGTTGATGATCTTCTCCAACTCTGCGTCACATTGTCTTTGATTGATGGATTTTATCAGAAAAGACGTATTTAAATCAAATTTTCACGTGTTGGTAACTAAAGCTCCCGCAGCCCTACAGTATATAAGTCACCATTTTAACGTTTAGTAAATTAGCTCTCGGGCTTCAGCTGAGCTTCATCTGTGAACGTGTGATCAGGATTAAACCAGTGCACTGTGAAACAGGGGCAGAGCATCCATTATTGATGACCAAATCCCTGTGAAGATGCCCTAAATAGACTTGTGTGGTTGCATAACAAATGCGAAGCTTGTTGAGCCGCTGATGAGATTTTTCTGTCTTTAAGTGCTTTTATGAATGAGAGCGACGCTAACGCCGAGCTCTCCGAGTCTGATGACCTTCAGTCTGAAAAGGAGCTGCTTAGCTTCAAACTCATCGGTGGCGTCGGCTTTGTTTGCTTATTAACTCCCTATTATTTCCTGTGATTTCCATTTCTCTGCTCCGTTTTTTTTCCACCCAAGAACATTAAAACTCCGGCACACTCAGGATTCACTTTGCCTTCATCCGGCTTTGTTCCTGTGAAGAAATGTTTATTTTAAAGAAAGAGGAAGCTCTGCTTTTTATTCAGATAACCGACGAGCTGCTAAATGCTGCAGCTTTGATTGAACCCAAATACCTGCAGCAGGAGGATAAATACATCACAGCATGATGTCTGCCATTACACGCTGAAGCCTGCCGTTGCATCACTTACGCTTTGATGGCTCACTTTGAGACTCTTACATGTATTTTGAAAATTGACATTACGATTTTAAACTTGCCCTCCATGTTAGAGTTTAGTTTGGCATTATGGAAAACACTAATCTCATATTCATGGGGTTTCCATTGATAAAAGTTGGGAATGATCCAAAATAACCTGTGCTGTCCAACTGTTTTGGCCCCAGAATGGACAGAGTTCAGTCTGCTGTGGAAATGCAGACCTCAGTGTTCACCCTTACCAAACCGTTGTGAACCAGACAAATCAGACCCGGTGGTAAAAATTCAGCTTTTAACGCTAAAGTGCGTAACTTCTGCGTGTCTGTAAATATCCGTTTCACAAAGCCACTACAAGAGGAGATGATACAACGCTGATGAAGTATTTTTCAGTATTTGTTCTTTTTGTTTTGGGTGTCGGGGCGACATTCTCGCACTGGTGCACAGAAAACGACGCGTTCAACTCGATTTTACCTGATGCGGCTAGTAACAACATGGTGGAGAACCCGATGAAGTGACCAAGAAGTTCAGAAGTGGATCCTACTAAAAAGAAAAAAGCCTTCTGTTCATGAGAAGGTCTGTTGGCGAAGAAAGAGAGTGATAAACGGGGAAGACTAGCGCGGATTTGCATCGGCATTGCTTCTCCTCGATGGAGAGCGCTGAAGGAGGAGATTGGACTGGGGTCTGACACCGATGTTGCCTGATACTGCTGGATAAGTAAGTGACTCTGTTCATCATGAGCAGGATGTGTTGCTGTTACATAAACTGGACCGAGTACTTTATCATTATCTTGGAGACGGTGCTTGCAGGCTGGTGTTTGCCACATTGTCTGACCAGCAGTTAGTTACAAAGTGTGTAGCCCGTGTTGACGAGTAACTTTAGTAGCCTACATATTGTGTCAACAGTTATGGCTAAAACATACAGGATCCGCATATTTGGAGCGTGGCAGCAAGGCCTACAGGACATGTATCAGCTCTGTCGCAGCATCATGTCGAGAGCAGATCGGCTAAAGATGCAAGTCTATTTTTGCTGCTCTACGCTTCCAGTGTGCGTCAATCCACACAGAGAAGTTCGTTCCAGACAGGAAGTCAAGCACGAAAAACGCGCACGTCATCCGGTGTTTCAAAATAAAATACCATATGGGAACTCTTGACTGTGCTTCAGTTTGTGTAAATGAGAAATCCTTCCTGGTTCTGGATTTATCAGTAACACAGAACAATCTGACGGTCGATCCCTGATCCATGTGGACCCCAACAGGACTTTGACCTGCTAACTCTGTCTGAAGGTAACAGCACAAAGGAACAGAGTTTACTTTATTAAACACGAGTAAACCTGCAAAAACACAAACTGTAAAATCACTTAAAGCTTTTTCACATACAGTAGAGGCTCAACGGTCACTGAATTATATCCAAACTAGACCACAGAAAGGAAAAACAACCTGTTGTGAGCCTGTTGTTTCCTCTATACTGAACCCAGCTGACCGGGGCTGAACTATGCTGCTGCTACGCTACAAATACGCTGATCCTGTATGCGATAAACCAGAGCTGCTCTACGGAGCAAATAGGGAACGCGCTAAATACGAATCCTGTATGTTTTCGGCCTTCGGAGGTGCTGACCGTATCCTTGTAATAACGCAGGAATCCTCCAGGGGGCGATAGATGTTACGCACTATAGCTTTAAGACCGTGAAGGTGTAACATTACTACTCTATTTGTTATTTTATAGATTGAAAATATCCTGTAACAACCTGAGAGGACCTTGGATCATGGATAAGCTCTTTAACTGTTCATGTGGTCGTCGTGTTCGGGACACGCCGTGATCACATGATCAAAATGACTCCTGCAAATCTCCAATAGTTATATAATCCAGTGTTGAATTCAAATCAGATTAACTTCTGATCACTTTTTCTGTGATGATCTGAATGCAGGAGCATCAACTGTTGATCAAGTTGCTCACCTGATATAAGTATGAACATCTTCTTCAGTCTAATGTCTGTTTTTATCACAATTCTCAGCTTCTCCAAACTTTCCTGCTCCTTGTACTGATTTAATTTCCTTCATTTCCTCCCAAAATTAACTCTCTGCTCCGACTTTTTAATGGGCTATTAACGTTTGAGAAAGCTGAAGATGCAAAATCTCGACAATCTTCCACAAACTCTTAAAGACGAGGCATCATCGTTTTATTTCACCTCTTCTCTGCAGTGAAGCGACAAAAATCAAGTGTGTTTTTGAAAAGTGCAGATGTAGTTTCTGCCCCTTTTAGACGCTTCACTTCCCGGTTATTTTGTGATTTTTATTGTCGCTGACTTTGGGGAAGTTGCATGACTAATGAATCTGTTTCTTTTTTTACTGTAATGACTTCAAAGTGTTTGGAAACAGAGGACTCATCAAGACGTGACTCCAGCCCGTAAAGCTGACCTCTGCAGCAGGAAAACACGTTTACCAGAAAACACAAACATCCCCTCAAACCGTTTCTTCTGTCCTTGTTTTTGCAGCTCGCACAGCACGACACGGCCGACCATCACTGCCCCTCGCCGTCCTCTTCCCAGACTATCTGCTCGCATGTACTTTTCCATGGCTGATGGTTTCTATGGCAACAAAAGTGGATGGAGACAAGGCCGGGGCCTGACAGAGCGCTGTCAGACTGGGAACCTTATGAGGTAGGAGAGAGAAAAAAACTCAACAGGAAAGAGAGAAAGGAGCAGAAAGAGAAGTGCACAGAAAAGAGATTCAGGTTTATTCTGAAAAGGGCAACTTTTTCAGAGATTACGCAACAACACTTACACACATATATGTCTTATTCCTCTTATTTTATACGCCTTACTGCTGACTCTTTGACAGCATTAGTGGATCAGTCGATTAAGGTGCAAAGCCAGCTTCAGGTCCTGTGGTAAACTACCTTGTCTACTCTTTCTGCAAGTCATTAGAGCTCTTAAAGGGATATTCTGGTGTAAAATTAATTTAGGGTCAAACACACTGTAACACCGAGTTAGACAAGCCCTCGAGAGATGAATGTTGCCGACCGCTTGCTTCTCTAGTTAAACCAACTTTAGTAACGACCGCAAGATAGTAATACACAGCGGTCTGAGGAGCCATAAACAAACCTCAACCAAAACGCCACAAATAATGCTCAGAACAGCACCTAACTTCATCAACAGGACATATAGGGTCACAGCCATAGTACTAGACACCAAACATCTTTTTAACTTTGACTAATTTCTTTAGCAAAGAGACTAAACACAACTCACCTACTCTCTTCCAGCAGCCGCTTGTTTGTAGCGAGACCTCAGGCCAGTCCATTACAGACTACAGCGGGGTGACGCAGCTCAAGGAAGAACATTTATGATCATTTCTTTATCATTTCCTATAAGTAATAATCATCATATTAATCATTTTACAAACGCTGTAGTTCTTCTGCCTTAGCGTCTCGGTCTGATTGTATTTCCATGAAGAAATGATCATAAATGTTTTTCCTTGAGCTGCGGCACCCCGCTGTAGTCTGTAATTGACTGTCCTGAGGTCTCGCCACAAACTAGCGACAATATTACACCAGGATATCCCTTTAAAACTGAGGATTCATGAAGTTGTAATGTATCCGTGTTGCACTAATCTTGACATCCATCATCTGTTCATGTGTGACGATGAGAGGCCCAGACAGTAATTCTAGCGCAGCGGGAGCCAAGACTTTCCTATCCTATGTCTTTAGATCTATGTTGGAAACGCTGTCATATCTATGTCTACTACATCCCCCAGGACAGAAGTCTTCATCTGTTCAAGGTTCCAGCAGGTCTCGGGTTAGTGAGAGACACACAGATGCTTCACACCGGCTAACTTCAGGAATCTGTAAAAGAAACCAGCCGTCTTGTGGTTTGTTGACGATTTACAGGTCTAAAGCAGACGGAAAAAGTCAGGCCTTGTTGGGTCTTGTTGGGTTTTCACTGAAGTTCTTGTGACCAATCGTGTAATGTTGACATTTAACAATTTACATAGTACGCAGGGAAAGTAGGTGGGCTAGAAAAGTTCAAATAAAAAACGCCCAGTTTGACATTTGTCATTTGGGTGTGAGAGTAATCGTCTTAGCTGTCAGCTGATCGAGGTTGGGATTGAATCAGCTGATGTACCGTCGGCTAAACTTGTTTTCTTTCTGATTCGGACGTTTTTTTTTTTATTTACAGGGTAAATTTTTCAACAAACTCCTGGTCTTATTAACCACAGAGTCCATCAGACATTTCATATTAAAGTCAAAAGTCAAATTAAATGTCCATGATCAAGGTCCACCCCTGAACACGTTTACATGCTCAATTTACATCTGTGCTCACAGCACCGCCCTGTGGAAGTACGTAGTACTACAAAATAAAATGTCCAATCTGCTCTAAATTTCACAGGTTTGATGATGATCCTTTTTTAAAACTTATTTATACACAGATTTTCAGGGATAGCGCCACCTGTTGGAAAAAAACTGTATTTTTTTATAATAAACTGACACTCAATGAGGTTTCGATTTAGACTTTTTCATTTAAGAGCTTTCCTACAGAATTTAACCCTGGGAAAGTCATAGCCCCACCTGCTGGTAAAAACAGTGCCGTGTGCTTCAGTTTAAATATCGATGCAGACAGTGACCACCTGAACTTTTATTCATATCAGTTTATCTGATCATGATCCCACAACTTACTGCTGCGCTGATGTTTTTGATTTTCCATGTAAGATTAACATGTTCTTGACCCGCTTAAGTTTTTCTAAAGTTTTAAACACTGAAATATGTCAAACATGATAACATTTAAGAAGGTGGTTTCGTGGTAAAATGTCCCGTTCTTGTCCCATGCTGCCTTTGCGGATCATTGCAGCCGTTGGAGAGGAACCAGGATCTGGATAAAGCTTCTGTATACCGATTTCAAGGCAGAAGTCTGGACCGGTTTCATGGCAGACGTTTTGGCTCCAGTAGAAAAGCACAGAGGGAACATTTTTTCATTGATGGATCGGTTCCATTAAGTGTAGTCATATGGCGCCAGGGCGACGGCGTGCAGAATTCGTGGATCTTGGAGTTAAAAGTGAACTGCAGTCTTCATGCTTTCAGCTACACCTGCTCTTTTCCTGCAACACTTAAAGTCATGGTTGACGATTGGAGGGATTGGTAATTATTATGAACCTCGTTTCTATGGCGATCAGGGTCCTATAGTGCGATCTCAACAAAGTGAAGAGAAAAAGAAGGGAAAAAATCTGTTCATCCTATCAGGTGCAGCTGTCCCGGACAGCTCCTATTGGTCAATCTCCTGCTCCGCCTCTCCATCCAATCACCTCGCTGTATTCGACACACCCCGACTCGACCCCTCCCACTCTCCCAATCCCTCCTCGGAGCTCTGAGCGACTAAAAGTAGCGTAGCAGCTTCGCTACAGGAGCTGTGATGGAGAAGGACGCAAAAAAACACTTCTGCTCGCCCCACCGCCAAAAGTGGGAAGAAAACACAAGCCGACAGAAGAAAGGAAAGAGTCGACGAGGATGAAGAGGACGAATGTGACCAAGCGAGGAAACTAACTCGAATAAACATCGGGTCATCCTTGGAGCGGTGGAGAAAACAGACGCCGTGACAGCAGAGTTTTTGTAGAAAAGGTCGTTTTTATCACCTTTTATCGTGGCTCATGTTACATAAATAACTCTGATTAGTCTCTGACATGTCAACACGGTAGCGGTCCAGGCAGCTGCAGACGGCGCTCGCTAGCAGAGCTGGCGTTTACTGCCGCTCGTCCAGTGTTGTTTTTGGCAGGCATTTTAGATTTAGTTTTAGTCTTAGTCATTTTGACGAAATGCTTCTTCGTTTTAGTCCCATTTTAGTCATTTCTATCCTTGATAGTTTTAGTCTAGTTTTAGTCGACGAAAAGGTGTCTTTTGAGGTTCGTGGTGTTCTTTCCCGACAGTTTGAAGCCGCAGCATGAGGAAGCTGTGGCTCCACAACTGTCGTCTGTCTCGTCTCCCCGTCCCCGTACAAGACATTGTGTTTTATTGTCACTTGGACTGTATCTGAAGTAGGACCAAAAATCATCCCTCTTTTTCGGCCACCGGGTACCGCTGCTGTGCCTGCCGCCACGGTGTGTGTGTGTGCGCGCCTCGTCCACCTGCCGCTCTGTGCATGTGTATGAGTGTGTGCGCGCAGCTGTGCGCGAGCGAGGCTTTTGGTGCGCGTGTGATGGGGGCGTGACTGTTAGGACAAAAAAAAAAGCATGTTTTGAAACTTTGTTCGTCCACCTGATAACAATTTAGTCTCGTCTCGACCTCGTCTGACAAAATTTAATAATTTTCGTCACATTTTAGTCTTTACAGAGCTTTGGTGACGTTCGTCTTAGTCTCATTTTCCTCAAGGAAAAAAGGGGTCTGACGTCGTCATTTAAGTTTTCGTCCTGCCTGACGAAAACAACACTGCGCTCGTCAATCCGACATGTTGAATCCTGTTTGAAGCTAGCGTAGGATGTTCTGCCGGCCGGCGTCTTGCTCTGCCAGAGGGGGTGATACAGGTTCGGGGGGGAGTTTAAGGGAGAGGTTTGTGTGTCGGGGGTGGGACGCTTCACCTCAGCACTCCGCCATCAGTGTTTTCTTTCTGCAGAGGTTAAACCACGAGGTTCGCTCACACTCTCCCATCCCCCCACAGAGGCCTCCAGACCCTTCCCAGCCTCAGAGGAGCTTCAACATGAACTGGAAGTGAAGGCAACATGTGACAGCCAGCGGGCAGCAGCAGCAGCAGCTGCCAAAGAGCGCAGCGCTGAAGTCTTCAGAGTGGGATCAGAGCGAGCCGACACACAGTCACACTTGTGCGGAAACACACACTCAAACTCCGAGAAGAAAGGAAGCAGAAGGCCGGTCAGATCGTTTCCTCTCTCGCTGAGTGGGCTAATTGGGAAGCGAAGTCGTTAATCTGCTCTCCAGCTCTGGTTTCAGCCTCTATAAACAGTCTGCTGTGTGTTCACTCAAACGTTTTGTATTTCCGCCACAGCTGTCTCCGTCCATCAGCTCCGAGCAGACGCCGGTGTTGGCGGGGAGCGTGCTGTTGCTCTGTTAGGCAGGTAGAAGAAGAGGAAGAAGAAAAGGCAGATCTGAGGAAGCCGTCTGCAGCTCCAACAGTCGGCGAGATTATGACCCCGGGCGCTGGAACACAGCCTATAGCAGTCATGAATTCAGCCTGATACATCATAGATAAGAGTTAACATCCCCCAGGCTATCGCCGGCGCTCAGCTCCGGCTGAGATCTGCTCTGAAGGCTCACCTCAGGGATCCTATCGAAGGATTCATCATTTGGTTAGCGTTATCTCTGCGGCGGTCAGCGAGGCCGCGCTCTGATCAATATTTGGGAGGAGGTTACAGTCCCGAAGACGCCGCTCCTTCACGCTTCCCTCCGAGCTTTTATCAAACCTGATCGCGATCGCATTCAGAGAGGCGCTCGCCGACAGGATGAAGAGTTTGGAGATATGAGGAGAAAAACCCCGTCTAACCTTTTCCCATCAAACACGCCGCTGATACGGATTCTCTGCAGGATGATTTTTTTGAAGTGGGGTTGTGAAGAGGATCCAGGTCACCTCGACCCTTTTTAATCGAGAACCAGAAGAGAAAGGAACGATATTTGATTTAAGACTCCAGATCTTGTTTAGAAGTCTGATCTTACAGGGTTTAAATATTTCCCATCATGCACTAGACCTGGAGACCCCTGCACGTGCAAAACTAAAGCTGCAGGCGACTTAAATCATCCTGTTTTTGAAGCCCAGGACCGAGCCGCTGAGTCGGAGCGTGTTCCACCAGAGGATATACGATCATTATCAACCAGAGACAGATTTGTGTTGTCAGCGGTGCAGACTTCAGAGCTTCACACTGATTTTATTCATGAACTGTAGATAAGACAACCGAGATCGTAATGAGACTGAAACCCAACCCGACCGGTTTTCATTTCAGCTGTGTGTCAGACTCCATAAAACCAGCAGCGGAGAGTGTGTGTTTACAGTTACTGTCAGCTGGAGTCGTAAAACATGTGGACAGCAGGCGTCCTCTCCCACCGCCAGCACCCTCCCCCCCTCGCCCTCACCTCACGGGGTGCAGACGGCCGGGTGCCACATCGTCCAAACATGTGTGTACAGTATGTGGGCGTGTAACCGGACCTGTTTAGAGTCATTTAAGACATCATCTCGACTCGATTTTAGGATATGTCGGGGTGCAACCACAAACCTGGAGTCCTCATTCAGTAGAAGACGTCTTTTGTTCTGCACACCAATGGAACAAATTCCCCCAAAATGCAGCAGCGAGAGAGTGAGCGAGCGAGCGAAGCTGACAGGCTGCTGGAAACGCTGAGTGTGCTGCTCAGAGAGGATGAAGCCTCCCTCTGACTCACCCCGGCACTCATCTCTCGCTCTTTTGATCGCTCAGGAAGTACGCAGGCCTACACTTTCTTTATCACCCTCATTAATTTCTTATCAGACGCACATGCGGCCGCTGTAAATCCACGTTTTTAGTTTTTTTTTCACCGTACCGCAGCAGAATCACAGGGCAGGCGATGAGTGATGAGGATGTGGTCACCGCTGAGCTCATGCGGCAGATCGCTGTGATGTGGCGACGCTCTGAGACTGCAGGTTTGGCCTCAGTGAGGGCGAGGGGATCCGGAGAGGGACTTAATTCCTGCCAGAGGTCAAAGGGCAACCAGAGGGAGCAGGGATGTGACAATGACGAATGATGGAGGAAGGTCATGTGTGATATACGGGCGAAAGCACAGCAGCTGCTCTCGAACACGACAGACGTCCTTATCTGAACCAGAATGATGGTTTCTAATCGTGCTTTAACAGGCAGAAACCTCGAGCAGAACCAGACTCGTGTTGGACCGCCGTCTGGATAAAGAGAGGGGTGGAGAGATTCAATACAGATGTGAGGTTACAGAGAGATAATGGAATAAGTATGTGAACTATTTACAGGAACAGCAAGAGAACGATAACAGAGTAGGGCGGCACGATTTTGGCCGAAATTAAAATCACGATTCTTTTTTTGAAAACTCTGATTTTTTATTCAGCGTCAACTTCACCAAACTTCACTTTAAAAATAAAAAGTTTTTCTATCGTCTCTCAAAACAAAACCACTTAAAAAGGATGTAGTTCATATGCCAAGCCAGTAAGTGGCGCTACAACGCTGCACAGGAAATGCATAAAAGACGGAAGAAGAGTACGGAGCATACGTGAGGCTCAGGCGCCATAAAAGAGTTACGCTGTGTGTCACATGATCGTTTCCAGAGATGCAGATAGACATCCACACGGAGATGAAATGGTCGTCGTTTACAGATTTATTCACTCTCTGACCCGTTTACAAAAAGTACCGTTTACAGTCACCTGAAACGCCGATGCGACAAAAAACTTTACTCCTGTTACGGGTTGATCCCGCCTTCAGACAGACTTTACAGCGGGGAGTGGTTTACTCTTCATCTGAAACTGCGAAGTTGTAACAATTCAACACGACTGACTCGCTCTTGTCCTATTTAACCACGAAATTATCACCTTCTTTTGCAAACGCCATGTTTGTTTACACTGTTGTGTGTGGGAACTTGGAGAAGGATGAGCCTACGGTGGCCTGGAGGAGCGAGACATGATAGAGATGAAAATCAATCTGACGATTTAAATTTTCTCAACATCGTCATAATCAAATAATCTGATCATGATTAAAATCGATTAATCGTGCAGCCCTATGACGGACTGGTCTAAGGTTGACTCGTGGCGAAGTAAAGCGTGAAGTTGGGGAAATAAAGAGAGAATCAAAAATACAACAATAATCTTTAGATTCATCAGAGAGAAAGAAATAGAGAGACTGATGTTTGTAGTTGAAGCAGATGGAGATCAGGCGGGTCCACAGCAGCGATCCAGAGGAACCGACGGGATGATGGAGCTCAGGGTTCGATTTTCAGTCTTTATTTATTCAGACAGTGTTTATAGCTGAGACTTTAGATGAAAGAAACTTCCCATCCCGACTGTTAAACATAAAAAATCCTCAAAATGTTACAGATAAACTCAAAATGGAACATATTGAAGCACTTGGACAGTTTATGGGACGCACTTTTTGCCGATTTTGGTCCTCTATCAATAAACTAAAGGTAAAGATAATAAAGCGCCTTTACTCATGAACTTACATCTTTGAATGTTAGATACTCATTAGTATTTTGCATGCGACAGCTACTCCTCTCACAAAAAGCGAAAGAATTAAACTGCAGAGTTTCACTGTCAGCAGAGTTTTGCTCGCTCTCCTCCAAACTTTTGTCGCTTTAAAGACATCCATCTGTCTGTTTTTGGCGTCCAATGATGTCACTTCCCATCATCTGCCTTTAAAGTCTGTTTACTCCGTGTGTTCCTCCTCTTATTCTCTGCCAGCCTTTAATTTTGCTGTCATTTTCTTCAGCTACTGCGTTGATGTGGACTTCAATCCTTTTTTTTTTTCCCTCCCAGCAGAGAGCCGGAAACAAAAGCCGCCTTTGTGCGCCTCGCAGCGAAGCTTTGATGTTCAGACTCTGGACTTGTGTGCAACAGCTGCTGGTCTCTGTTTCCAGGCTTTAGGGGGTTAAAGTTGCTCTCCTTCAGGACCAGATTCACAGGCTGATCGCTGGATTTACATGCCAGAACCTCAGATTGGTTAAAGAAGGGGATTACTTTGTCCCCGGTATGAAGACATCGATCTGTGCTTCAAATCCCGCTGACAGGAAGTGGTGACAGACAAAAGAAATCATCATGTAGCGCCCATGAAAATCCTCGCCTTCCTTCCTGCCTTTGTCTGAAACTCTCTGTTTGGATGTTTTTCCTTGGGTACCAACAATCAGCTTTAGTTCTTTAGAAATGAAGCCGATGTGGAGGTGTGAAAAACTGCAGTTCCATGAGTGTCCACTTGAGGCAGGCTGCAGAAGTTTAGAAACCACATTGACACCGAGCCCAGGGTCCTTTTCTTGCTCCTTCCTCAGTTTGATTGTGTTGTTATTGAGATATATTATGGCCACAGTAATTGTGAAGTTCCTGACATCTTGACTCAGCTTCACAGGCTAGCCATCGACTCACAAGCTGCCCCCCGTTTCATACTTCTGTGTCCGTCTTTCGAAATAGAAAATAGCTGAGATTTTTCTTCACGATCAAAAAAAACACCCAAGAGGAACTTCAAGCGACGTACTGAGCCAATAAAGCGCAAAGCGGAGTGAAAGCAGAGCCGTGAATTCGGCTTTTCCAGGTGATGGGAAAACTAGCAGGATGGTCGCTGTTCAATAAAAAAACATGAATTTCAGGAACATTAAAAACAATTTTATTCAGAAACTGCCTTAAAGAATAAACCCACAACACTGTCATTAGACACAATTAGGACCCAAAATCAACATCTTTATTCAAACACTCATTAGTGACCTGCTGTGAGTGATAGTGGACATACGTCTTTCTTTAATAATGCGCTCCAAAGACGTTCGGTTATTTACGAGCTTATCAAGTTTCCTGTTTATGTCCCACTATGATGATAAAGTATTGATAGCGGGTTTTCCTACATTTCCAAATGGCACATTGGTTGTCAACCATTTTGAGTCGCGACAATTGAACAAGCGCTAGTGACCACGACCGATGCAGGTAAACTTAAAAAAAAAACATCTGAAAAATGGTTTTCAATAAAATTTTCTGTTTTCGATGAAATTCTGGCTCTGATTTCACTTTAAAGGGATATTCTGACGTAAAATTAATGTAGGGTCAAACACGACGTAACACCGCTTTATACCAACTTTAGTAACGACCGCACGATAGCAATACACAGCGGTCTATCACTCCACACACAAACCTCAACCAAACAGCACCTAACTTCATCAACAGGACATATAGGGTCACAGACATAGTACTAGACACCAAACATCTTTTTAACTTTGACTAATTTCTTTAGCAAAGAGACTAAACACAACTCACCTACTCTCTTCCAGCAACCGCTTGTTTGTAGTGAGACCTCAGGCCAGTCCATTACAGACTACAGCGGGGTGACGCAGCTCAAGGAAAAATATTTATGATCATTTCTTCATGGAAATGCAATTAGACCAAGACGCTCAGAAGAACTACCGCGTCTGCAGAGAAAATGATTAATATGGTGATTATTACTTCAAGGAAATGATAAAGAAATGATCATAAATGTTCTTCCAGGATCGAGGAAACACAACTAAATGATTTGATAGTCGACAAGTGTGAGAGCAGAAACAGCAGCAGCTTTGAAATCTAACGTACAGGTTAATAACTCTGTCATGGTTAGAGAAAATCTTTAGGTCGGCATCAGTCGATGTGAGGACATTAGTGTGGCTTTACCCTCGACTGTAATGAGTCTGTCACAGTTTAAAGTCTGTTTGCTGCCATGAGGGTTCATGCTTTGTTGACACTTCAACCCCCAGTGGAGATACTTGTTGAAAAGATGACGTTATAAAATGTCTTTCCGTCAGTCATTTGGATACTCAAAGCTACGGGGAAGATTATGGACCATGCATGTAGGAGATGCGTGTTTTTCATCGTACGCCGACGATATGGGTAGTCGAGGGTGTCAAAGGTCAGGGGAGGCAATGGATAAATGTATCCCGGGTACGACGAGGTTTAGCATGGACATCCAACGTTATCAGACCAGCTTCAAAAAGTCGTAAACATAGCCGAGTTGCTAGGTAAAGCCTCCATACTTCCTTTCCAGAATATGCTATCGCTAACCCCGCTAATTACGCTCAGAAAGAGTTTTCTAACTCTAGTTCTGCAACTTTTCTCCATTAGCCGTCATCCGGAAAGGCGAAACTCTCTGTAGTTTAAATTTCGCCAATCTGATCGCCGCTCCGCTCACAGAAGGCCTGATGAGCGACGGTGGAAGCTTCCAGGACACTTTGTGCTTGTGAGATGAGCCATGCTGTCTCCGGTTAGTAAATCACTGCCTCCAAAAATCCACGGAGCAGGAAGGATGAAGCAAAGAGGCAGAGACGCCAGCGCTCTAAGTGAGTGAGAGAGAGAGAGAGAGAGACAGAGAGAGAGAGAGAGGAGTGTCTGAATGTGGCTGGTGAGGTAATTAACATTTCCCTAGCATCAGCGGCTGGTGCTCAGGGCTAAAATGATCCGCGGAGACCTCGTCGAAGCTGTAATGAAGTCCTTACACTCCCGCACCGACAAAGAATAGAAAAGAACGAGATGAAAGTTGAAGAGGACGAGCAGACATTACAGCTGAAATCATCGAGTGTGCGCTGAATACTGCGGGGAAAAAAAAGTTTGCCGAAAAAGTTATCATGAAAAAGAACCTCTCCGAGCTCCAGCGTTGGTCCTTTGGTGTGAAATGAGTCGATTCAGATCACACTTTTTATAATTTACACAGTTAAAGACGGAAAAGGAGACGGATAAGAAGAGCGGGGAGGAATCTGAGGAGAGCAAATCACCAATCACACGGGAGATCGGCTAACGGGGATGAAAACACGTCACTTTTACAGATCTGTGTCTTTTCTTTGGACGATTTACCGAGTCTTTAAAGAAGGTGTCTACGATAATGATCCACCGGGCCACAACTCAGCATGTGCAGCACGCTAAGACTAGATCCTAAACGGCTTTATCACAACGGAGCGAATTTGTGAAGCGAATAATTAACTTTTTTTTAAAACCTCATAAAGTCAATGCAAGCTTCCTCACCGGCTACGAACTTCCGCTGAGCAAAGTGACCAATTTTTCCGCCCCTTTAGTGAATTTTGTGAACATTCACAGGCGAACTGCTAAATAAATCTATAGCCTTATATAAATCTGACCTCAGACATGTGGCGAGCCTTTTCTCTGGATCAATCGGCGCTTCGTAATTTGTCCTCTCCTTCCGCAAACGTGGAGTGAGCTGACGGAGAAATGGTCCGAGGAACATTCTGAAGTATGACGGAATTTTTCGGGATACAGTTTAAGTTAGGGTGACCATATTCTGAAGTCACAGAGTCACAGAGTCGTGCATTGTTAATTTTGAATTTTTTTGTACAGTGGAGTGTTTTTGACGCGCTTCTAACTCAGTAAGTCAATGCGACACAAACTCAAAACTTCCATACACAACCTGGACATTCGAAGGATTTTATAAACTCCCCTGGACAGACCGGACAGACCCCTAAACAGAGGACAGAGAACAGAGGACAGGCAAAAGAGGACACATGGTCACCCTATTTAAGCTCCTGGATCGTTGTGTGGAGCTCCCCCATCTCCTGTCGCAGGGTCACTATTGGATGTACCCAGACACTTTGATTCTTCTTTTCGTTTTTGTTATTTAATCGGCGAACAGCCATGACCAGGGGCCTGTTCTACGAAGCAGGATTACTGCTTAGAGAGGTAACTTCGAGGGTAAGTTCGGGGTTTCCTGTTCTACGACGCAGGTTCTTAGCAAGGCGAGTCTCCATGGCAACGTACGCTGAACGGCTAACCTGCTCCGGGGCAGGTCAGATGCGGCGGGCTCCGCCTTACATGCGTGTACGCACTCATAGCAAAGCTGGATCCACTTACGAGGTTGATAACCAGCGTCATAAGACCGTTTAGCGAGACCGCTGACTACCGTGCTAAGTTGAATGGTCGAACCTGCTTCGTAGAACAGGTCATGGACCTTAATGGTTAGCTGTTCATCATTATAACACCCAGGGTCTGATCAGGATTAGTGGACGTGAGTTCATCAGAGTCCATCTGGATCTTAATCTGTGGTTATGGAGAGGCTGGAGTCATGTTTGTAGGTAAAGACGAGGTTCAGAAACACAAATACGACTCTGAAGACTCTGAGTTCTCCTGATGGTTGAAGACTTTTCTTAAATATGTTCTGAACAAATAAAAACTTCCAAACTTTCTCCTTGTGCCTGCAGACGGCCCTGGAGGTTTTCTCCTTTTACAGAAAACAGAACTTCGATCAGACTTGAAATATTTAATCAGTGAAGGTTTACCCCAGGAACTGTGCAACATCAGCTCCATTTAGCTTCTTTTCTCAGAGCCAAAGGCTGCGATACTCATTTTGTTCTTTTCGGTGCTTTTTTATTGATTCTGGGTTCCTGTTTTCCTTTAGGTAAAGACTTTCGGAAAAACAAATTAATTCCAGAGCAACAAACCAAATCGTAATGATCTGACATTTCGCCGTGACTCCGGGCTGTTTGTTTGGTTTAAGCCCAGTGAAAATCTCGGCTCGTGTTTTCCCCGCAGTGGGCCGCGGTTCCTGACGTCGAGGTCTCACTTTCTCATCTATCATATTCTGTGATAAATGATTTAGCAGAGCTTAGTTTATCTGAAGGTGACCTCGCCTCACCGTTTCTGTTCTTATCAGCCTGTCAGCTCGGGGATCGTTTTTCAGTCTGCGGGCTGGCAGCAACAAAGGTTCAGCCATTTTTCATCCTCTGTTGTTTTTGTGATATTTGAACTCCTCAAAGAGAATTTAAAGATAAATACTTCTTACTCATGTCAAAATAAAACTCTGCAGGGTGCTGCCGCAGCTCGTGGGGTTTGGACTGCACAGAAAAACATTTGTGTTAATGTTTGGATCACTTTGGCCGCTCTGCTCAGTCTGCAACGAGTAAAAATGGACGACATGAAAACTGCACAGAGGTGAAACCACAAAATCATCCTTTTTTCAGTTAAAGTTCTGGACTTGTCAGGTTTAGGTCTGCTGGAGAGAAATCTCAACTATGGTCGTCAACGTCTTTCATCAGCATCAGACTGGAGACTCCGGTCTGACTCAAGTTCCTAAACTACATCACACCAACGTTGTTACGACCTGATTCGGTGCTGACGTCTCGCTCTTCTTCTACGCAGGTCCTCTTATCGGAGCTGACAGTCCCACATGGGAGAGACCAAGAGCTGAAACGAGTCAAAGGAGCTCATTGAGGTGAGGTTTACAGAGGGTTTGTCATCCGCAAAGAGGTGTGACATCAAGTCCAACACAGATTCTGCAGACTGAGACTCAAGGTTAGGGTGACCATACATCCTCTTTAACCCAGACATGTCCTTTTTTTTGTTTGGAAGTTTATAAAATCCTTCAAATGTCTGCGGTTTTGTACGTAAGTTTCGAGTCTGAGTCACGTGGACTTACTGAGTTAGAGGCGCGTAAAAGCAGACCTGCCAATACTCCCGTTTTTCCCCGGACTCTCCTGTATTTCAGACCTATCTCCCGCTTATTCCCGTATCGTCATTTCTCCCGAGAATCTCCCGTAGTTTGATGGTCCACGTTCATTCATGAATCGGATCACGATATTTGCCCAAAGTTTCCAGACGACCGGAGTTTGTCCTGTGTTTCTGCTGAGCCTCACAGACTCTGGGTTGATACTTTGACTTTTAGGTTGGTTTAATCTGTAAACTATATGTAATCAGTGTTTGATGTAAAATGAACACTTCAATGAAAGGGAAACAAACGTGAAGTGTAATATTTACGTTGATTGTCTTTCACCGTCTCAGAGTGATGCGTTCAGGGCAGCCTCAGATAAAACAGCGCTGTATTTCACACACGGATGTTCAGAGAGACTCAAACAGGAGAGAGAATGTAAAACATACGAGGACTTTAATATTAGTGGACTAAATAAGTTCAAGGCATATTGTAGTTATTATTATTATTATTATTGGTAAAACAAAACAAAAATTGTGCAGCTTCACTTAGACTTATTTGGATGAACAATCTAATTAGAAAGACTCTCATAATTCGCTTAAATTCATCGTACAAGGGAACCCCAAAACTGCCCAGCTGGTGCAAAAATCTCCTGGATTTTATGACCCAAATGTTGGTAAAAAAAAAAAAAAACACTCGATCCGAAAAACTCTCCAAATGAATTTCGTCAGACTCCTCGACTTTTTCCCCACGTAGTCGTATCACCTACTCAAGGTGGATCTGGATTAAGAAGTCAACATGTCCTGAAACACCTGATGATCTCAGGAAACATCTCTGCTCACACTCATCTGTATTTTGGTTTCTGCCCCACGTCACCTTCCTTCCTCCTCCTCCTCCTCCTCCTCTAATACTGCCTGTAATACTCGGGGTCGCACATGAATCTTGGGAGAATTGCCAAACAATACAGCCGTGATTTAAGAGTAGATTCTTATTTACCTGGATGTGACCCTCTTGGCGAAGTTTGAATCTTGCTGATTTGAGTTTTCACTTTTATTACTTGGATCTAAGGAGCTTCATCATTTGTTGGAAATCCTTCTGAGTCTTAATTACACAGTAATTTCACGGCCCCTCTGTGTCTGTTTATGGTCCTTTTATGGTTGGAACATCCCTGTGGCTTAATTGGCACATTAAAACAACAAGGCAAGTTCTCCATAATAGATGAGGGTGATTATCAGTCTGAGTTTAACTCGACGAGCGAAATCCTTCAATGAACGGGCAGGAACAGGGCCGAGTTCTGGATCTGCAGGAGCTTCAGTCGATCGAGGTGAATATAAATCAACATGTCGGCTCACCTTCAACTCAAACATGAAGAGAGACAGAAAATTTTAATCTGAGAGCATTCGACATCATATAAATCTGACAAAATCCTCATAAAGTGGACGAATTCAAGAATTCAGGGAGCAGCAGCAGCTGCAGCAGCAGGGCGAGTATTTGTTCCTGCTGCATCCCTCTGAGAAAACATGTTTACTGCTGCCTTGTTCCCAAAAGGAGAGTGAATCAAGAAGGTAGAAAGGAACAAAAACAAAAAACATAAAAAAAAGAGACAAAGAGCCGGGCTGCAGTGAAAGTCCTGGATAAAAAACTGTCACCGGGGATTTAAAAATACTCCAAAACTCCTCGGTGAGCTGGATTTCCAGCACATTTATCCAGCGCTCCGTGTGCCCGGCCTGCACGCTGCGTTTCATACACCTCTGAGCTCTTTAATTAACTGCAACACCGCCTCAACCGCGAATGCAAAACAGCACGGCGCTCAGCTGCCGGTGCGTGTTTGACGGTGACTCGGCTGCAGACGCACCGCGAGTACATCCATCTCCCCTGAGGCCTCACCGCTGAGTTATCGTGCATCATCGATTGGGCACGGGGGATGAAGCCTTTGGGGGACCACCCATTTGTTTCCCTGCTGCTGCTGTTTACGATCAGTGCAATCCCTCACACACACACACACACACACACACACGTACACACACACACACGTACACACAGTCCCCTGGAGGAGCTCAGATGGAGGCTCACTCCAGGATAAGTGACAGTGAACACTGAGCTGTGGTGTGTGAGTGTGCATTAGTTGGAGTATGTGTGTTTGTTCACCTTTGAGTGAGCGCTTCCTAAGACTCAGCTGAAGTGGACCTGAATGTAAATCCTGGATTTGCTCAGAAATCTTCACATTTACAGCATCCTGGGTGTTTATTTCAGCTTCAGCGCCTCCGTTATCGTGTTTGGAAATAGATTATCCGACATTTAGTGTTATGTAGAGATTTTCTCTCATAGATCTGATTGGTCTGAAAATCCTCTACAGTGTTAAACTAATAATCACTCACATAAACAAAGTGTGAGCGAGGCCCCCACGCTGCAATTCAGGCTTCAAGATACACAGAATAGAGACAACAGATATAACCAAAGACGCCTGAACTCAAATGTTTATATAACCGTACAGTAGAAGGATAAATCTACTGATGGGAAGATCGGTTCTTTTGACTGAATCTTTAGAAAAGATTCGTTCAAAAGATTTGTTCACTGAATCAGTCAGTGCTCCGGAGCCCCGTCCTGCTGGTGCAGTACATGAGTGAGTGACACAGCGGCGCTGATCGGAGGTTCGTTCATTGATCAAGCTCCTCCCCTCCCCTGCTGCTGAAGTCACAGCGTCATTCACTTGGTGACACGTGTCGTTCATTCGCCAAGTCGTGAAGGAAAAATCACTCCTCTGCCTGCTTCAAGTCGTTCAGATCGTTCGTTTTGTTCACAGCCTGACTGATACATGAAGTTCATTCGCTGTGACCAAATCACAAGACTCCACCCGCTCGCTGGCTGGCTGTGTGTCATTCCCCAAAGAGTCAAAGGCGGCAGTTCCACTCCTGATCAGCACGCCACGCTCGCCGCTGTGCTCAACTGAACTGAGAAAGGAACGAATCAGGTCTCGGAGTGATTCAGTTCATGTCGTTCACTCAGCAGTTCTTTTAAACGAACGAATTGTTCATAAACGGAACAACATCTGTGGTAGTGTAAAATCACTGCAGCCTTAAACAACATGCGTGCAGTCTTGACTTTGTTTTCAAAGAGATGTCAGAGTTCATGAACATTAAAAGTGTGATTTCTCATCAGAGGGGAGGACTCTGTCTTTGTATTTACCGTTTTCGCAGTAAGACCCAGCGAGCTCTGAGGAAACGTTTTAATATGGAGGCTTTGTTTTTTATATTTAGTATGCACACCTTGATAACGCAGTGGAAGGCCATTTGTTTACAATAGTCTGCACCAAAGCTTCTTGACTGTGTATAGGAATGATGTTCACATGCTTCAGAACGAGCTGACACTCTGCTCTCTCCGGATTTTCAGATTTTAGACTCTTTAAAATCCTTTATTATCTAAATTTGTTTTACTGAATACTCCTTTACTCTTGTAGCTTTGACTCTTTTCTCTCTAATACGTCCAAATCTGCTTTTACTTTAAGAAAACAAAAGCTGCCGAGTTTTCGTTCTTCCTTTAGCTTCAGTGAAAGGTGAGAGAAATTCACACTCTGGATGTTAATCTGCGATCTTGTCTTTGAGTATCTATCCGACTGTGAGTGTTTGTGTACAAATCCTTAAGGGTATAACTGAGTGGATATTTTACATATTCTAATATGCAGGTTTTACATAAATAGATACGTGCGAATGTGCGTGACATGTTAAAGTCTTAGGTCTGTGTGTGCATGCATCTGTTGGTTTTATATCGTCAGTGTGTGTGTGTGTGTGTGTGTGTCTCAGAGGAGTGACAGCAGAGCCAGGACTGAATTTAAATGCGGGTCATTGTGCAGCATGTACATCTAGGTTCTGTCTCTGCAGCTCTACGCTCAGGATGGAAATCCCTCCATCACGGCGCACGTACTCATAAATTCTAATAGCCTCCGATTGAAGCCTGTTGGCGTCCTGAGGACCGATGGCGCACCCAGAGGACCCGGTCAGGTGATCCTGGCGGTTCCAGCTCCCACACTTTGATGTTTTTCAGACGGAGTGGGCTCAACTTGTTTGTCCGTCCCTCCGGGGACAAACATGACAAGGACACGAGGATAATTGGATTGATGTAGGAATGTGTGTGTGTGGCCATCAGCTTCTTATTCAATTCCTCAGACTCTCTCATTAGACTTGGAAGCAGGTTTTTAATTAATTTCAGCTCCGGCTAATTAAGGAGGGAAGTATGGTGTGAATGAAAATAAATGAAAGGTGGGTACGAGCCGCTGTGTGTTGATTGCACCATAAATTTTCCATTTCAAAAGATGACCTGAGCTGTGACTCCTTAGATTAAGTGAAGAAGTTAAATATATGGAAATATTGTTTGGGCCTGAGTGCAGAGAGGAGAGGCAGCACAGAAGTAAATTATCACATTAAATCAGCCGTGGATGAGGAGACAATGGACGAGTCTCTGATGTCGGATAAACTGAAAAACATTCACATAGACAAGGTAGGGGAGACTGGGGACAGATGCAACATTTTTTGCTTTTCTCTTAATTACTCAGAGATGATTTGGACGAGGCCAACCGTTTATTTATTTATGTAGTAAATTCACATCTGTCTCCTAATTTCCCATATCATTTAAAAATGATTAAATAGGACGGATTTTTGACAATATTCATAAAAAAAAAGTCAACTGTTGCAGCCGAACCTGTCCCTGGAACGGTTGCAACACTATCAACAAATCCA